CTTCTTCTTCTTCTTCTTCTTCTTCTTCTTCTTCTTCTTCTTCTTCTCTCTCTCTCTCTCTCTCTCTCTCTCTCTCTCTCTCTCTCTCTTTCTCTCTCTTGCCCCCTCTTACAAAACATTTGGCAATCTGTCCCCCCATCCCCCCAGGTGGAACACCTTCGGTCTGGGGCAGCAGTGAGGAACCACCGTCACTTACGTTTGTCACACCTGGGGCCCCTGTACGCAGAGAAGCACTCACAGGTCCCGTCACCATTGAGCCCGCTGTTGCACACACCGTGGACACAGTTGCACACTGTAGACAGAAGATGGGGCAGGGTCATAGCTTACAGAGATGGCTCCTAAGGACCCAGGAAGGGTCACAGACTCAGACAGCCCTTCCGAGACTCTCTCTGTACAACGAGGTGGAGGAACCTTCCAGAGAGGCCCTAATTTGAATCTTGGCTTCATCTTTCTTTTATTGAGTTGGGACTTTCAGTGCGTATGGTGGACCATAGCTCCTGCACTAACGGAGTGTTAAGAAAGGAAATGGATCTTCAAGCGTGCCTGGCACATCATGGGCACTGGGGTTCTCTTCCATACTGAGCTGAGGGCTTCACCTTTGGATAGCCCTACAGTAGGACTTAGAGTCTAGGCATGAAGAGAAGAGCTCTCTTTGTTGGCATCTGACATCTCTGTAAGCAAATCTTACTTCTTGAAAGACAAGGGTCAGAAAAGAAAAGTAACCCACTAGGGCCCGGAATGACCGTGTCCTGTCTTCTGCTCAAAACAGATGGCTTCTCAGCCCAGTGACAGGCCATGAATGACCAAGGAAGGGCCTTCGATAGAAACGGTCAACCCTTCAGCACCCAGCTGGTGGCTCATCTGTTACCCAGTTTACTCTCCAGTCAGCCCCCAGAGTACTAAAACCAAGACGCCCACAAAGCCCATTGTGTGAGGTCTCTGCCTACTGTGCCTGTTTCTGATGCACGTGGGTACATTTTATATAAGCTCAAATGAGTCCCAATTATAAAGAGGTACTTGCTTAACAACAGCAAATATATATATATATATATTAGAAACTCAGGAGCTACTAAGTTTAAAGTTTTCTGAACACACCAAAAATTGCACCAAATCCCCGGGTTCTTTGTCCACATCTCCATCCTCGACATCCTGCTCACGGTCTCACTGGTCCCGTCACCTCTCTGCTCCTTTACCCAGTAAATGACATTAGCTCCAAGAGCTGTTACCGAGGACTAGAGGAGATCGTGGGTGGGAAACCTCTTTTGATACTGCCAGGCACACAGTAAGGGTTGATTTAGGGGTTACAGAGAGAGAGTGGGTTTTGCATTGGGCTCCCGACAAGAACAAGGCACTGAGTATCTCTGGTGCTGGCGGCAGAGATGAGAGCCGCTGGCTGATGTAACTCTGAATCACAACAGCCTGGTAAAGGAGCGTCCTGGCAGCAGGGAAAAGTCAGCATTAAAAATAGACGGTCCCTGGTAGAGCTGTCCCACTTTCAGCAGGAGTGCCCCCTCCCGGGACCAACACCCCAGCGGGTGAGACCACACCAGCACCCAGTGGGTGTTTGCGAGCTCCTTGGGCCTTGTGTTGGGGCCTTGCCAGTTGCCATGGTTACTCATCCCTTCACCCACCCAACATGTGCTTCCATGGGACACAGTAAGAGCCTGGCTGTGTTGTCAACCCCAGGGGGTAGATAACAGTCCTGTTTTGTGAGGAAGGCTGCCACAAGCCGCACGGCCCTTGGGGTTGGTTCCAGATTCAGGCCAGCCTGGATTCCCTGACTGCTCTTTTATTGGAAGACGTCCTGTCCGAAATGAGACCCGCTTGGCCACGTTTGACTATTTCTGTTTAAACTCAGTAGTGTGTCCTAAAAAGTTAAAATTCAGTTCCTTAGTTGTTTGAGCCCCATTTCAGGAGCTCAGGGGCCACATGTGGCCTGTGGCAACGAGGTTGGACCTTGCCATGTGGAAAACATCACAGGAAGTTCTACTGAAAACCAGAACTTGGAGAACTTTTCTCTGAGTCTCTTTTTAGGGTTTGGGGCCAGCAAGATGACTCAACAGGGGCTCAATGCCAGCCTGCAGTTTGTCCTCTGACCTTCACGTATGTACCATGGCATGCACACACATATGCTCACACACACCTAATTTTTAAAATGCAATAAAAATAAATAGCAGGAATGAATTTTCATTTATTAAAAGTAGTTAGCATCCAAACCATCTTCACCCTTTTTCCCCTTGCTTCCTCGGTGGCCAAACATGAGTCATATTCTCTTTCACTAGGAAATGTCTGGAATTTTCAATGTGTTTGTGTTTGTCAGCAATCCACACCCAGTGCTGTGGAGGTTCCCGGGCTCATCTTTTCTAACTTTTCATCCCAAGCATCCCCTCAGTTTTCCTGGGGTTCTGGGTGCTTGCTTCCTCCTCTCCCATCTCTTTAGTTTTTATAATTTCTTTAGTTTTTATAAATTAAATGTTAGTTGATTATGGTAAGGAGGGAGCCACATAGAAGGAGATATGGGCATGCCATTTCTAATCAGTGGCTTATATTTTAGTTGCTCTTCTTTAAAGCAATGTGAATGTTAAAAACACATAGAAAAATAAAACATGATTTCAACTTGTTCTTGCTGGTACCCCTATCAAAAAGCCGTGAGGAGCCAGGAGTGAAGGGACACTTAAGATTAGGAATGATAATAATGAAAATCATAATGACAGCAACAGCAATAATGACGGCTGACAGTTAGCATGCTCTGTCTCAGGAACTACTCCCTAACGATGGTGAGATTGTTTCTGTAGGTGAGAAATTCATGGTTAATATATTCTGAACATTTATCCAGTTGCTGCAGTTGGCAGACCTGGAGCCAAAGCTCTGCCAGGGTCTAAAGCCTGGGCTTCAATCCTTTCACCTGTAACCGTTGGAAACTGTGTTTCTTGGTCAGGATAGTGTCACTGGGGTCACTCAATCATCCATTCATTCTCACACTTATTTGTTCATGAGGCTGACAACAGCTGTGTCCCCTGCGGTCAACACTATAGAAGCTGCCAGAGAGAAAAAGTCAATGGAGTCTTGTCTTCAACAAGCCCATGGGTCAGAATGAGGATGCCTTCTCTCCGCAGCCAGCGAAATTTATTATGGGACATGCCAAAGAACTTACGGGGCTGAAGTATTTATGTGTTTATAGATTTTCTTGCAAAAGATTTACGAGATGTACCATACAACCCTGTTATCCCCCTCCTGGGTGAATTCCCGGACTCTGTGTCCTGCCCCAGAGACACTTTTGCTCAGCCATGTTTATTGCAGCTCCACTCTCAGAGCGAGGACATGCAACCAACCTAGCTGTCCATCAACACAAGACTGCACATTGAAAGTGTGGTAATATACACTTTCTGCCTCCCAAGCTGTGGGCTGCACCAACCTTCTCTCCGCTAATGCTCCACTTGGGTGTTCTTTGTTACAGCAACGGCAAGCTAAGACAATCAGTCTCTTAAAACAACACAAATTCACACATCCCTGGAGGCCAGAAATAACCCCTGTTAAAAACTGAAGTAACCATTCCTGGGGACTGGAAACCCTCACAATGCATGAAACGGACAAAAATCAGACCTACCTGACGAACAGCTGGGCCCAAACACGTTGTCAGCCGCACAGGTTTCACAGGCTGTCCCGCGGAAGCCGGCCTGCAAAACACAGGTGGATGACATCAGACCCAAGGCCACCCCGCGGAACTCCTATGCTAACCAGAAAGCCCCTGGACAACCCATGGATGGTCTGGCCTGCATTTGCCTCTCTAATATGTCTTTCCCCTGGGCCTTTCTTTCCTCAGGTCACTTGAAGTCTTCGTGTATGCCCAGCTCTGTTTTTGTTTTCTAAATTTTCTTTTGCTAAAGGTCTAGCGCCCTAGAGAAGAAAACAGCCAGCCCAACCATGTATAAGTAGGCGGTAAGTGCCGACAGCCCCCTCACCATCTTACCCAAGGATGGCACAAAAACACTTCCAGGTCTGTCCTGAAGGGAGATGAACTCAATCCCCTTTAGAGGGAGTTGTGTTCAATTCTCCCACAGTTTGAGATTTACAGGAGTCAATTGTGTTAGATAAAAAAATCCTTCAAAAGTCACAGGCCCGTGGTCGGCCCTGGGTAGCCTAGCAGCTAACAGTAGCAAGATGTGACAACTTTGTACCCATAGACGGATTCATAAGATAGTTCTACAGATGTGACCTCATCTGTCCTCAAAGGAGGTTATTCCGTGGATCAGTCCTCGGGTTTACAGGCAGATATAAAGGTGAGAGGCCGTCTTGTTTCACATTGCAAATTCAATTTATTAACACTGTTACTCTCAGTGACTTGTAGTGTGGGGCTGTAATGTAGGTGGATTAAAGGTAGGAAGCGAGAGGCAGCACATCAGTGGTGGAGCATCTCTCTGAACTTACTCGGCAGGAGCAGCTTCCAGTTCCTTCCATGCCTTCATCGCAAGTGCCTCTGCCATTGCACGGTGACCCTGCTCCTCCTGGGCATTCTGGAATCATCAAATAGACAAGATCCCTTCATTCATTCCAGAATGGGCAAATAAAGGCATGCTGCAAAGGCATGCACCTATAGGCACATGCCACTTAGTGTGTTAGTTACCGGGGACAAAAACAAAAACAAAAAAAAAAAACAAAACAAAAAACAACTGAAGATCCTGTTGGTCTGATCCCAAGCTAGAAGCCCCCTGGACCTACACAGTGAGTTCAAGGTCATCGTGAATCACATAGCAAGATTTCGTTCTTCTAAAAACTGAGACCGGCCCCTGGCTTCCGATCTCTCTATGCCATCTCTTTGCTCCATGTGAGTTCCTGCCACACTGCAATACAGCTAAGATGACCCTCACCAGAGCCAAGCCCCTGCCAGCCCAATGCCTCAACTCCAGATCTGTCAGTCAAACAAGCTTCTCTTTTTTATACAGTTAGGCTGCCTCGGGGGCTTTGTTCTAGTAACAAAACCAGATGGCCACATAGGGGCAGGATACAAATATCCAGACCACAGAAGCAGATCTTAAGTAAAGTGACTTCTAAACACAGAAAGGCTCTCTGTAAGATGCTAATGGCTCTCTCAGGAAGTTACTACGATGGACCCTCACCGAGCAACCAGACAGGCCAGGACCACGACATGGGTGGCAGAAATGTTTGCACGGTGAGGGGGAAAAGAAGTTGTCGGATCCCTGCGACATTGACAGTCACTTTTGAAAATGAGATGTTGGTATATTAGTGTCACCTCTATCCCTTGAAGAAAAATTAAAAGAAAGGAAGGGAGGGAGGAAGGAGAGAAGGAAGGAAGGAAAGAGAAAAGGCTTGTCTGGGCCGGTCATCCACTGATAATGTGAGGGACTGGTGGAAAGAGCCTGGGCCTAGCCACTGGAATCTTCTGGACTGGGATCCCAGCTGAGCTTTGCTGACCACGCCCTCTCTCCCCTCAGCATAGCTCACTTCTGGCTCTGAGGTTCAGTTCCACGCTGTTCCCCTGGCAGTGTGTTCTTGGGACTGGGAAGCTGGGTTACAGTAAAGCAAACCTCTAAGACTCCGAGTGGGAACTCCAATATTTTCTTTCTTTAGGGTTGTCATAATAACAGTTAGCGGCGCTCAGGGAAAAATCGAGGAAAGGAAAAGATAAGTGAGGAGGTGCGTAGACCTGTTTCCATAGTCGGGGGTGGGTGGGAGAGGGTTTGGGGCCTCGGGGAGGAGAGGGTTTGGGGCCTCAGGCAGCCGAGGTTGCTGCTCTACAGGTCGGCTGAGCACTGACTGTAAGCGGCCTGGTGCCCGCAGCTCCCCCTACTGGATATTTTCAGGATTTATTCCAAACAGTCTAATTTTGAGAGGACAGATCGGTTTCTACTGGCCTCAATGTACAGGGACGGCCAGATCGTAAAAGCAAGGCCTTGCTAAAGCTTTTATTTAACCTTTGTCTGAAGAAGACCAGCTGAAAGTGAAGACAGAAGAGAGAGGAACAGAGATTTCTTAAGCTGGTACCATGAAAACCCTTGGGCCTTTTCTAATTTGCATCAAGTATCTCCTTGTCTGGGAAAAGTCCATGTACCCCTGACACGGTTAAGGATGCAAGGGCTTCATCAGAGGCAAAACATGCAAAGAAAACTTAAGAAAGTAGAAATATAGGAGCTGATGAAGTGCTGGCCGCCAAGCCTACACCCAAGTTTAATTTCTGGAACCTACATGATGGAGGGAGAAAACGGATTCCTGAAAGTTGTTCTCTGAGCACCACATGTTCACTGTGGCTCACCACACGCACACACACACACACACACACACACACACACACACTCCCAGTCCTTGCCTTCTGTTTACTATTATTATTATTATGGTTCTTGTTCTCCTTCTAGATCCTGAACAGAATGACAGCACATTGCACGCACTATCCCCTACGGACACCATGGAGTGGCTATTATTATCATTTTATCTAAAAGGAAACTGAGGCACAGAGGGGTCAGATAATGAAGCCATACATCTGTGATCTTTCCAGAGGACTCTGACTGGTTCTGACTTCAGTCTGTGATGACCTCTCTGCCTGGTTGCTTATGACCTTTCCCTAGTTTACTGGCTTTTCCGAATCACTGTCTCATTCAATTGATTCATATAATGCTTGTTGCATGCTTAGTGTGTCTTTCTCGGCAGGAAATGGTTTATCTTTGTGTTTTCAGGAGGAAGTAAAATAAGGTTTATCCAGGACAGAAGGGAACAACCAGCAAAGCTTACTTCTAGAGGAGACTCAGTCAGGGTCGGTCTTTACTAAGTGGTCTTCCATTGCTCAGGCCATTGGCCTTCCGGATGTTTGCCTTCAGCTGTGGTGAGCAGGAAGGTCCAGTGGAAATGTTTGTCCCATAGGGGCTTTCCTAAAGCCCCAGCATCAACCACTCTGCAGGAAATGAGACATTTTTCTCTGTAGGAATAACTTTCTCCTGATCCAGCTTATGGCTCACTAGTTTGAAAACTTGTTAGGTAATGTGTCCCCCACAAATATCGGTGTCAAATCCCTTACTTCATTGTGATGGTGTCAGGGGGTGAGGCCTTTTGGAAGTGACTAGGCAGGCAGCAGGGCATGGGGCAGGATCTTCAAAGTCATGACCTCCTCTCCTGGGATCCTTATACAACTGATTCCTCACACGTTTGTGTCTGTCTCTCTTGCTCGTCTCTGATACACAGGGTTGTGGACTATGGTATACATGACTAGAGGCAAGCCTTAACCTATGAGTGACTATGAGCATCATACAGTAGGTGGTCAATAAATGCTAGCTTTTCATGAGTTGGCCAATCCTGAAAGGAGCTTTGGAAAGAAGGTAGCAGGAATATGGGGTAGAGAAAGCCATCATTTGATAGTCTATGTGGGGTCTTTCACTGACACATGAGAACTACTTATTAAAGCAAAAGCGAGCATTTATTTCCAGCATCTGAAACCACTCTGCATCACCTGGGGGCCCCACTGAGAACACAGATAGCAAAATCGGTGCTCTCAGCAACCCTGCCTGAGAGAGCAGGCAGAGAATTCGCTTCAGGGGCACATTCGTGGTGTCTTGTGGGGCTGAAGTGGCTGAGACAATTTTGGGTCATTATCACGGTTCTCTTCGGTCACTGCTGGGGGGGTGGCCTCTGGGTCAAGGCTTTTATTGTAAACTGTCAGCAAACTGCCAGCTGGGATCTTGCCTTAAAATAAGATAATGTCTTTCCTGCCCAGCAAGAGACAGGGGCCTCCCTGGAGCCTTATCTCCTAAGGGGTTGTTGAGGCCAGGCGGCTTTAGCTCATTGTGCAGCAGTAGCTGAAGACATGTCCTGGTATTCCAAACATCGCTGTAGCTGGAACTGTCTGCCTGGAAAACGGACGCCAGCTAAGTTCCTCATGTGAACTCAGCATTATTTATCCCGCAGTGCTTATACAAAGCGGCAGAAGAGAATGGCTCTTGACCCATAGATCTGTTATGTATTTGTAAAGCATATGGCGCCTAGCAAGGTCTATGGAGTGGGAAGGGAACTAGGGAGTGTAAGCAACAGGACAAAAACTGGTCTCATGGAGCATAGCAGCGCTGAGCTGGAGACAGAAAAACTGAAATCCTTTCTCCTTTGGGGGCTGCAGAGATGGTTCCACGGCTACGATTGTTTACTGCTTCTGCAGAGGACCTGGGCTCTGTTCCCAGAACCCTTACCTGGTGGCCCACAACCACCTGTAACTCCAGTTCCAGGGGGATCCAACAACCTCTTTTGGCCTCTGTGGACACCTACATGCATGTGGTGTGCATAAATTTGAACAGACGAACACACATACCCGTACAACACATATAACAGCTGAACACGCATACACATACAACTAACCAAATCTTGAAGAGACCATTTCTCTTTGAAGTAGACTGCTAGGATCACAGCCAAGCTTTGATGTGTGTGGCTCCTCTGCCCACGTTCAGATTCTGTTACTTGAGTTGTACAAAACATTTGCATTCATGACTAAATTTTAAAAAAGGGTGGACTCCATGTCAGGTAGGATATTAGCTACTCAGTGCCAAATGTGGTGGTGCATGTCTGTAAGCTGACCAGTCTGGAGGTTGAGGCACGAAGATTGCCTGGGCTTCAAGGCCAGCCTGGGCTACACAGTGAGGGCTAGGATAGCCTGTGCTACAGAGCAAGATTCTTTTTTTTTTTTAAAAAAAAACCTCTGCAGTTATTAGTTTATTAGTATCATCCGGTACGCATGTTCAGTATTCCTCCTCAAATTACATAAACAAACGCAAATATAAAGAACCCAAGTCAAAATTATATAACAGCACTCCATCACAAAAGCGCATAAAATTACAAGAATGCAGAACAAGTTTTTTTTTTCAAATGTGATTAAGTTGCCTAGTTAAAAATATGATTCTCTATATTCATGTTTGAAAAAGTGGCAGCAATTTTAATTAGGATGAATCAGATAGAATTGAAGTAAAAGCGTCTCCTCTGTTAGGAAGCTATTTTCCCCCTCGCTGCGAATGCATGCCTTATTTAGAAGATGATGAGTAATTTGGTTTTTTCCCCCCACTTTGCTTTTGGTGTTTTCTGAGCTTGCAGAACTGATCAGTTATCTCCAGAACCAGACATGACAGAAGCACTTCTCACAGGGAGCCAGAGATGCTGCGGATGGATGTGGATGTGCTTGTTGTCACACCATGAAGGAAGCGGGTACCCCATCTGCCTCCAACGCAAGGTCATAGGGGGGATGGGAGCATACTTCCTCAGACTAGGGAGACGGACCTGAGTCAGCAGCCCCGAACTGGCCTTGTCCTTGCAGAAGTGTAAAGCGATAGCCAAAATCAGGCCTGCCATGGTCACAAGTGGGCATGGTAAAGCAGGCGGTAAAGGAAAGGAATTATCTTCTTCCTGAACTGAGGGAAGGAAGGAAGCCTTTTGTGACTCTTGGCATGTTTGGGACATGAAGATAAAGGGAAGAACCTTTTGGCCTCACTAGTGAACAACAGAATTGATGATAGGCATCCATTTTCATGTTTCACCTCTCTGGCCATGGACCTGTTCTCAGAGGAAATGCCTGAGCATTCGCAGAAGATTTTTTTTTTTTTTGTACTGTTGATCCTGGGGGAGAACCCTGAACCCTCCCTGCCATATTTTCTAGCACGTGGTACAGCGTGACAACTGCTAAGGATCTGAGTCCTGCTTGCAGTTTGTGCTGTAGAGGATGCCTACAGTGGATACAAGGTTCAGAGGACGGCACCATTTTATTTATTTTAAATATGCTCTTGCGTAGCCCATGTGTAGCCTGCCATCTTCCCATTGCACATGGTATACTAACTTTCCTGGTCCATCTCAGACAAGGCTTGTTCTTGTCTGCACCATGTCCGGTCAATAATGGCATTGCTTTAGTGTTTCTGAGGCCGAAGGGTAAAGCGAATATAAGCGCTCTTCCTAGTCTATCAGGAAGGTGATGAGAAGTGGACACATGGCTCTGTTTGACACCAAAAGCCACCCCCGAACTCTGGAAGCGTGGGAAGTACCGTAAATATAACTGACTTCAGCACTCAAGTCTAATACGTTAGCGATTTGGGAACACACAGAGCCACAGGAGGGTCTGATGCTTGGTACAACTGCAACTTGGCACAAGTTAGATTCCCCTGGGAAGAGAGCATCAATGGGGGACTGTCCACATTGGCTTGGCCTTTGTACTTGTCTGTTGGGGGGATGGTCTCAAGTTAATCAGTGTGGGAAGAGCTGATACCCTGTGGGTGATGCTATTCTGTAGGCAGGGGATCCTGCCTGAGGCGGAGGGAATAAAGCTGAGCTCAAGCGAGCAAGCCAGCGCACACAGAGCTCCTTCTTCCTGCTCCTGACTGCATATTTGATTAACTATTCGAGTTCTTGCCTTGAATTCCCCACAATGATGGGGAATTTTAAGATAAAATAAACTCCTTTCTCCCCCAGGTTGCTCTTTGTTAGAGTATTTCATCATGGCAACAGAAATGAAATCAGAACACAGAGTAAGGCTGGAATAGAGCAACTCATAGAATGGCTGGGATGCCTAAATCCCAAAGCTTTGTCTTTCTAGGGAAAGAAACATACTCCAGGCATTGACTAGGGAAGATGGGAAAAACAAGAGAGGAGTCAGAGACACCCCAGGTTCCTCTCTGCTCCTCTTTCCATAACAAGCTCTGTTTTAGGAAGAGGACAAGATGGAAGCATAGGAGCCTTTGGGGCCTGTTGTATCACTTAGCATCCTCAGCCTGCTTTGCTGTACTAACCAGTATTACCTATTCATAGCAGGCTGGGCCCTCTCATTTAAATTATCAACCAAGGAAATTCCGCATAGACTTGCCTATAATAGGCTGATCTGTGGAAGGCATTTTCTCAATTGAGAACCACTCTTTCCAGATATCTCGAGCTTGTATCAAACTGATGAACGAAATCAACCAGTCAACCAACCAATCAAAACACCCCAATGGTATGCATATGATTTCCTATAACCCCATACACAGTTTCTCACACTAGGTCTTTTAAGGTCAACACTATAGTTTTTGATATATAAAATCTTTGGATGTAAAATTTTAGAATGCTTCATGACTGGTTTTGATCATGGATAAAGACAAGAGCAACATTCTTTGAGATGTTGTGATGAAGCTTCTTAAGAAAAACTATGTTTGGTGTCATAATTTCCCAGTGTTTTTTCCTCGAACATTGCCTTTTCATATATGCATATACATATCTGTTATATCTACACATAAACATATGATCTCCATGATACATGTGTGCATGATATATGTATGTTTTTCCAGTTGTATCTTTTTATGACTTACAAAGATTTTTATTTTCTTTTGTTCTTTCATTGTCTTCTTTTCTCTTTGGAGACAGGATCTTGCTCTATATCTTAGGTTGGTGTAAAATTTGCCTTGCATCCCAGGTCAGCCTTGAAATCCTGATTCTCTTGCCCCAGTCTCTGGAGTACTGGAACTATTGGAATATGCCAGTAGGCTTGGTTCCAAGGGATTGTTTTGAAGAGAGTTCACTAACTGTAGCAAGCAGATTCCCGCCTAAAAGCTGAAGGGGAAAGAGAGATTTTTCTACATGTCTCGAAAATCATACACACATTCTTCTTTCACTGGCCTCCTCCCTGTCACATTTCTGTAAACTGGAGAAACAAGTTTCAAAATCCGAAGATTGCGTCACTTACCCATGCAGTGTGGACCCCAGTGGCCTGGGCAGCACCGAGGTTGTAGGTAGTCCTTCCTACATATGTGTCGGCATCCGGGGACAGACAGAGAGTATGATCTGATCTCAATCGAATACCTTGGAGAATTAGCAAGCACATGCATCAGTTAACCCAAGAATTCCCCAAGTGAGAGCATCTTTGCCATGACTCTCTTCTCCTATTAAGAGCCTACCAAGGTTCAAGGTTAAAATTATATGGCTTGCTACAAAGAATGTTTTGTACTCTTCTGATAAGGGTCAAGAAGAGCACTTGGTTGTATACACGCCAACTACTATTATTACTACCACACACACATGCACCCACCACATGTGTGCACTTGCATACATGTGTGCACACCAAGATTTTTCATGGATGATGCTCATTTTAGAATGGAAGACTGGCCTGTCATTCATTTATGCTAGAACAAGCAAAAACAAAACCTGATTGGTTCTTTTGTTTTATTTTACTTCGTATTTTTGATGTTTTAATGAATCACTTTATAGAGGTATGGTTAACATACAAACGCTGAACCTTTTTAATGCATACAATTCAATGAGCTTAGAGGTCAGCACACCTGCAACACGTGA